ATTAACGACCTTCTGCTGGCTGGCTGATGACGTTTTGAAGTTTTCGTTAATTATTAACGGGGTTTTTTCCCCACAGGACGTCATTAAATCGACTACCGAAAACTTGACCTTGAACACAAATCTATGGGGGAAATAAAAGTCATTTGTGTCTCCATAAAAAAAAAAAAAACATTTATTTCATGTCTAATGGTTGTAGAAGATTTCAGGGGTACTTTGTTGCGTATACGTTGTGTCAAAACGTATACGCACCCCTTGACCTTTATTGTGTGAAATGAGAGACAAATTGAATTTTTAAATTTTCACCAAAATATTTTTCTATAAAGAACTTTTCTGAAGGACCTTCACGGACCTTAAACGTGGATTTATAAAGAATTTTTCGGAAGGACCTTCACGGACCTTAAACGTGTATTTATAAAGAATTTTTCGGAAGGACCTTCACGGACCTTAAACGTGGATTTATAAAGAATTTTTCGGAAGGACCTTCACGGACCTGAAACGTGTATTTATAAAGAATTTTTCGGAAGGACCTTCACGGACCTTAGACGTGGATTTATAAAGAATTTTTCTGAAGGACTTTCAGAGATATAAAATTGAAGAAATTTTCAAAAGGACCTACAGATATAGAAGAATGAATTTTATATCAAAGGAATTTTCAAAAGGACCTTATGGGATAGAAAAAATATTTTTTTAGTATTTTTCTTAAAAACCTTCAAAAGGCCACAAACGTATATTCAAAAAAAAAATACCAATCATCCTTGCATTTTTAAAGGAAATTTTTATTTATTTTTTACTACGGACCTCTAGTCCTTAATTCCGAAACAAATATTTTTTTCACTTATAGACGTCACGCAGTTTATACATTTTTTTTCTAAAGACCCATATTTGTTTTTTTTTTGTGGACCCATAGTTTTCGACTATTTTTTCCAGGACAAATTTTCTGTACATAAGGGATTTGAGAATTTAATAATTTTAAATTTTCACCTAAAACACATTTCAAAAAAAAAATAATAATAATAAAATAAAAAAGATTATAGAACATATAATTAAAAAATAAAATATTTAAAAAATACCAGGTTGAAGATTTATGAGAAAATATTTCGAGAAACAAAAAGAAAAGAAAAATAGTACTGAAAAACCTAGTCGAGGACTGTGGGTTCATAAAAGATATTATGGGTCTTGAGAAAAAAATTAATAAATTACGAGCTGGTTGTAACTAAAAATAATTATTTTTTCGGAATCTAGGACTAGAGGTCCTCAGAAAAAAAAATAAAAAATTTCTTTAAAAATGTGAGGATGGTTGGTTGTTTTTTTTTTAAATACCGTTTGTGGTCCTTCAGAAAAATTATTTTTAAATATAAGTTTTAAGGCTTTGATGGTCCTTGTGAATAATTCTTTAGAAATCCCCGTTTAAGGCTTTGAAGGTCCTTTTGAATAATTCTTTAGAAAGCCCCGTTTAAGGTTCTGAAGGTCCTTCAAGAAAATTCTTTATAAATCAGAAAAATTCTTTAAAAATCCGCGTTCTAAGGCTTTGAAGGTGCTTAAGAAAAATTCTTTATAAATCCAAGATTTGAGGCTTTGAAGGCGCTTCAGAAAAAAAAAATCTTTATAAACTCTTTATATAAGGCTATGAAGGTCCTTTAGAAAAAATTCTTTAAAAATCCCAGTTAAAGGCTTTGAAGGTCCTTCAGAAAATTTCTTTATAAAACCCAGTTTTAAGGCTTTGAAGGTGCTTCAGAAAAATTATTTTTAAATCCACGTTTAAGGCTTTGAAGGTCCTTCAGAAAAATTCTTTAAAAATTCACGTTTAAGGCTTTGAAGGTCCTTTAGAAAAATTCTTTAAGGCTTTGGATGTCCTTCAGAAAATTTTTTTAAAAATCCACGTTTTAAGGCTTTCAATGCCCTTCGGAACAAAAACTTTTTTTAATTTTTTTAAACTCTTTATATAAGGCTTTAAAGGTCCTTCAGAAAAATTCTTTATAAAATCACGTTTAAGGCTTTGAAGGTCCTTCAGAAAAATTCTTTAAAATCCACGTTTAAGGCTTTGAAAGCTATTCAGAAAAAATCTTTATAAATCCAAGATTTAAGGCTTTGAAGGCCCTTCAGAAAAATTATTTTTAAATCCACGTTTAAGGCTTTGAAGGTCCTTCAGAAAAAATATTTAAAGCCCAAGTTTAAGGCTTTGAAGATCCTTCTGAAAAATTCTTTATCAATTCACGTTCAAGGCTTTGAAAGTCCTTCATAAAAATTCTTATAAATCCACGTTTAAGTCTTTGGAGGCCCTTCAGAAAAATTCTTTATAAATCCACGTTTAATGCTTTAAAAGTCCTTCAGAAAAATTCTTTATCAATCCACGTTTTAACCTTTGAAGGTCCTTCAGAATTTTTTTTAATTCTTTATAGATCCATGTTTTAAGGCCTTGAATGTGCTTCAGAAAAATTCTTTATAAAACCGCGTTAAACAAAAATTCTTTATAAATCAGAAAAATTCTTTAAAGATCCACGTTTAAGGCTTTCAAGGACCTTCAGATTTTTTTTTAATTCTTATAAATCCAAGTTTTAAGGCTTTGAAGATTATTCAGAAAAATTCTTTATAAATCCACGTTTAAGGCTTTGAAGGTCCTTTAGAAAAATTCAGAATTTTTTTTTTTTAAAATCCACGTTTTAAGGCTTTCAATGCCCTTCGAAAAAAAACTTTTTTTAATTTTTTTAAACTCTTTATATAAGGCTTTAAAGGTCCTTCAGAAAAATTCTTTATAAAATCACGTTTAAGGCTTTGAATGTCCTTCAGAAAAATTATTTAAAAACCCAAGTTTAAGGCTTTGAAAGCCATTCAGAAAAATTCTTTATAAATCCACGTTTTAAGGCTTTGAAGGCCCTTCAGAAAAATTATTTTTAAATCCACGTTTAAGGCTTTGAAGGTCCTTCAGAAAAAATATTTAAAGCCCAAGTTTAAGGCTTTGAAGATCCTTCTGAAAAATTCTTTATCAATTCACGTTCAAGGCTTTGAAAGTCCTTCAATAAAATTCTTTATAAATCCACGTTTAAGGCTCTGAAGGTCCTTCAGAAAAATTCTTTATCAATCCACGTTCAAGGCTTTGAAAGTCCTTCAATAAAAATCTTTATAAATCCACGTTTTAACATTTGAAGGTCCTTCAGAATTTTTTTTTAATTCTTTATAAATCCAAGTTTTAAGGCTTTGAAGGTCCTTTTGAATAATTCTTTAGAAATCCCTGTTTAAGGCTTTGAAAGTTCTTCTGAAAAATTCTTTAAAAATCCACATTTAAATCTTTCTAGGTTCTTCAGAATTTTTTTTAAATTCTTTATAAATCCACGTTTTAAGGCTTTGAGGGTCCTTCAGAAAAATTCTTATAAATCCAAGTTTAAAGGCTTTGAAGGTAATTTACAAAAAAAAAAGGCTTTGGAGGTCCTTCAGAAAAATTCTTTATAAATCCACATTTTAAGGCTTTGAATGCCCTTCAGAAAAAATTTTTATAAACTTTTTATAAACACTTTATATAAGGCTATGAAGGTCCTTTAGAAAAATTCTTTAAAAATCCACGTTTAAAGCTTTAAGGCATTAAAGTCCTTCAGAAAAATTATTTTTAAATCCACTTTTAAGGCTTTAAAGGTCCTTCAGAAAAATTCTTTAAAAACCCAAGTTTAAGGCTTTGAAAGTCCTTCAGAACAATTTTTTTTAAATCAACCTTTAAGACCTAATTCACTAAAAATTCACGTTGATGTCCTTTAGAATAATTCTTTAAAAATCCATGAATAATTATTTAACTATCCACGTCGATGTCCTTTGGAAAAATTCTTTAAAAATTTACGTTGATGTTCTTTGGAATAATTCTTTAAAAATCTACATTGATATCCTTACAGATGGATGTCCTTTGGAATATTTTTTTAAAATTCTACATTGTTATCTTTCCAGATGAATGCCCTTTAGAATAATTCTTTAAAAATCCACGTTGATGTTCTTTAGAAAAATTCTTTAAAAATTTACGTTAATGTCCTTTGGAATAATTCTTCAACAATCTACATTGATATCCTTACAGGTGGATGTCCTTTGGAAAAATTTGTTAATAATATTCCTTTGGAATATTTCTTTAAAAACCAGGTTGATATCCTTTTGAAAATTCATTAGAAATTCACGTTGATGTCCTCAAGAATAAATCTTTAAAAATCCACCCTGAAATCCTTCGGAATAATTCTTCAAAAATCCAGATTGATGTCCTTTAGAATAATGCTTTAAAAATCCACGTTGTTATCCTTTGTATTGACTCATTAAAAATCCAAGTCTAAGGCTTTAAAGGCCCTTCAGAACAATTAGTTTTTTAAACAACGTTTAAGGTTTTGAAAGTCCTTGTGAATAATTCATTAAAAATTGACGTTGATGTCCTTTAGAATAATTTTTTAAAAATCCACGTGCAAGGCTTTGAATATCCTTTAGAATAATTCTTGAAAATTCCAGGTCGATGTCCTTTAGAAGGCTTTTTTTTTTGTTTTTTGAAAAAAATATCTCTAAAAAATCAATGACCTTAAAAAAATCTAGAAAAATGTTTAAAAAAATATTTCTAAAAAAATCCATGAATCCTTGAAAAAAATTAACCTCTGAAAACACTTTAAAAAATCCACTGGTTCACACTTGACAAAAAAAAATAATTTCATAAAATTCTGAACTCGGGGAACCCAGAAAATGATTTTTTTTGGTTTTGATTTTTAAGGACATTGACATTTTTTACGGAATTTTTTTTTAAAAAACCCGTAATTTCCAATTTTAGATGCTTTAAAATATTTTCCAATTTTTTTTTTTAAATATTTCTCAAATCCTCATACGCTTTATCCTTGAGAATATTATTTAAAAATAAATAAAAAAATACATCTTTGAAAAATATTGAATATTGAACGTTTTGTTTTACTCAAAAAAAAAAAAAAAAACAGAACACTCTTTAGTTTCGGTGGTATAATTTTTTTTTTTTTCGGAAATATTTCCTTTTCAACGTTTTCCCAAAATTACCTACCTCTACTTGATCCTGTTCCCCGGCATATTCCAAATTGGTGAATATCGACCAGGTGTAGCGTCTTTTGATTTCCATGCGGGCATTGTGACGGCGATACCAGCGCTGTATTAGCAGAGCGGCTTTCATGGCTAGAATTAAAAAAAAAATACAAAATTTTACAAATTAATGAAAAAAAAAAAAAATAAAACGGCAAAAATAATTAGGAAAAATAGGGTGCGTATACATAACGACAGCAGTTATACGCCTAGCTGAACACAGGAGACAAAATATATTTCAAAATTCAATGCAAAACCGACAAAAAAGCTGAGATAATATAAAAAAATAAATTTATTTTCAATATCTGGGATAACATTAAAGAAATCCAAGAATGTTTGGAAAACATTTTTATACCATCAGCGAGTACATCGATACGGCCAAAACATGCCTCATCGAAGTACCAACTTTAGACCTTAGGTCTCTTTTGGACCAAATCCGTTTCAGGACATTTGGAATCGATCTAACGATATCCATCCGTCCTTCTGTCTCGTTGGCTGGTGCACAGGATAACACTCGAAGGGAAAATCCGACTTGGTCCGACTAAGTCTTTGTCTGGGTAGCTGGTGGGAATGATAACACTAGAATGGAGTTTCCGATTTGGTCCATAATTGGTACGTAATAATATTATTGCCAAACTTAGATCGAGTTCGGCGATGGGCAGTATCGCTCCACTCCTTCTGGTACCTCCCACACAAAATGTCAACATTTTCAAATAAATATTTTCTGCACAGAAAGAGAAAGGATTATCCGATAACCCCCACTTTGCAAATCCAAATATTTGCATCAGTGCTAGGTTAGGTGCAAGAATGTACAGTATCGGTCCACTCCATCAAGTACCTCCCCCCAAAGATTCAACATTTTGAATAATTATAGCTTTTATAAAATGTGAGGTAAGAGTCCGATTGTCTCCAAATTACACATATCACAATATTTTCATTAACCCAAGGTCTGGTGTGAAGATAAAATATATCGGTCTACTCCTTCTGGTACCTACCCTTACAAAGAGGTCAACATTTTGAATATCCATGAAGCTCATTAAACGCGAAATTATCATCCGACTCCGTTGAGACTTGCCACATCTCAATACTTCCATCAACACAAGATTTGTTACGAATATGGTTGAGATCTGACCATTTCTTCTGGTACCTTCCCCACAAAGGGTCAAAATTTCGAATAACCAAAACGTTTATAAAATCCGAAATGAGCATCCGATTCTCTTCATATTTCAATCATCCCATTATTTTTACTAACACAAGATCTGCTGTGAATATGGTAGAGATTGGTCGACTCCTTCTGGTACCTCCCCCACAAAGTGTCGAAATTTTAAATATCCATGAAGGTCATAAAACACGAGAAATTAACATCCGATTCCATTCAGCCTTAGTATATCTCAATATTTCCATCAACACAAGATCTGTTACAAAGATAGTAGAGATCGGTCCACTCCCTCTGATACCTTCCCCACACAGGGTTCAAGATTTTGAAAAAAACGCTCAAAGGAAGCATCGAACTCTATTCAAATTTCACACATACAAAAATTTTTCCTAACACAAGATCTGTTGTGAAGATGAAATATATATCTTCGAACCGCTTCTGGGTCCTGCGAACTTCTAAAGAAACAATAATTTCTAATTAAAATCTTCGAGCGTATACATAACGACAACAATCATACGCCCCAATGTCTCTCTCAATGTCTCTCCGCATTATCAAAACAATTCATTTTCCATTCATAACCATCTGCATTTTTACACCCCAATTCTTTTCTCTTCGAAATCTTAAATTTATTTAAAAAATTATAATTTTCCAACTAACATTTGCAGTTTGACTATGAAAAAAAAAAAAAATAATAAAAAATTTTATCCACTTGCTTGCTTCTGGGGTCCCAAACCATAAAGACATTTCACATTAAAGCCATTCATTTATGCTTCACTGATTATGCATACCATGCCGTATTTTTGTTCTCATCTTTATAGAGCTCTCGTTTTGAGCAAATTTCATTAACAGCAAAGAAATATGCTAAATTTATTCGAGCAGACTCCACCCACTCCACCTAGAATTTCTTGGATTTCTGGAATTTGCCATATTCCTCCTCTGCCACTGTTTTCGAGACAATTATGAAAATAAAAAAACAAATTCCATAAAAAACACATCATACTCTTGTATATCAGATTAATGCAAATGGAAATAATCTTTATTTATATTTGTCTGGAAATTATTTTAGTTGGGGGGAGGATGGTTTTTTTTATTATTTTCCCATGGCTAAGGAGCTGGGAAAAAAAATTCAGCTCCCAACTAAATGTTATTTTCTAGGTAAGTGTGGCCATTTGTAATGAAGTTGATATTTGTTCGTAGATTATTTTTTTCGGAATAATAATAGTAAAAATATGGAGACCCCCAGCGATAAAAAAAATTATTCTAATGGGTTTTTATTCAAATCCCAGACAGTTGAGGGTATCATTAATGGCCATCAGTTTCAATATGTAAATAAAATGGCTGACCATTATTTTAATCAGATTCAATGGGGGTCATGATATTCAAATATTTTTTTTTTTTTGTTTTTTTAATACATATGCATTTAAAATATAAATAAACATATGGTAAACTGCATAAAATGTGTTAAATTAAGTGAAAAAAGATTAAAAACTAATTTAAGTTGGGCAATGTGGCGTATGAGTTATGACAACACTTATACGTCCAGGTGTACCCACTACAAAACAAAATTTACCTTATTCTCATGAAAGAGAGAGCACAAAATACTTTATTAAAAAATTAAATATTTTAACTTAAATATTTTCGAATAAAAAAAAACAAAGATTTCTGGTTGAGAGAATTTTTTAAAGATACTGAAGTTTAAAAAAAATATCAAAAAAATATATAAAAAAATATCGTATTGAAAATTATGCCCCATTATGAGGGACACATCAGAAAGAGTGGGCCTATATCTATCATCGTTTTTGAGAACTTAAAGAATTTTAAAAATGAAATTACCCGAAATCGTCTTTACAAATCCAGAAACCCTAAAATACATACATTTTTTAAAATGCCTCAACCTTTTCAGTCCCCTTAAATATTTTCGAATAAAATTCCATTTTCGTGAGAGAGGAACCAGAATCAGATTTCTGGTTGAGAGAATTTTTTAAAGATACTGAAGTTTAAAAAAATATATATATCGCTGACCTGTTTCGCAATTTCGTATAGATATATGTATTGAAAATTATGCCCCATTATGTGCGACGTATCAGAAAGAGTGGGCCTATATCTATCATCGTTTTTGAGAGCTTAAAGAGTTCTAAAAATGAAATTACCCAAAACCATCTTTGAAAATCCGGAAACCCTAAAATATATAAAATTTATTAAAATTCCTCAAACTTTTCAGTCCCCTCAAATATTTCGGAATAAAATTCCATTTTCATTTTCGTGAGAGAGGAACCAGAATCAGATTTCTGGTTGAGAGAATTTTTTAAAGATACCAAAGTTTAAAAAAAACTATCGCTGACATGTTTAGCAATTTCGTAGAGATATATGAATTGAAAATTATGCCCCGTTGCGTGGGAGGTATCCGAAAAAGTGGGCCTATATCTATCATCGTTTTTGAGAGCTTAAAGAATTTCAAAAATTAAATTACCTGAAAGCATTTTTAAAAATCCGGAAACCTTAAAATACATACATTTTTTAAAATTCCTCAAACTTTTTAGTCCCCTTAAATATTTTTGAATAAAATTTCATTTTCATTTGTGTGAGAGAGGAACCAGAATCAGATTTCTGGTTGAGAGAATTTTTTTAAAGACTCTGAAAAAAAATATGTCGCTGAACTGTTTCACAATTTCGTAGAGATATATGTATTGAAAATTATGCCGCGTTGCGGGGGAGGTATCAGAAAGAGTGGGCCTATATCTATCATCGTTTTTGAGATCTTGAAGAGTTCTAAAAATGAATTTACCCGAAACCATTTTTAAAAATCCGGAAACCCTAATATATATTAATTTATCTAAATTTCTCGAACTTTCCATTCACCTTTAATATTTTCGAATAAAATTTAATTTTCATTTTTATGAGAGAGGAAGCAGAATCAGATCTCAGTTTGAAATATACCGAAGTTTAAAAAAAGTATCGCTGACATGTTTAGCAATTTCGTAGAGATATATTTATTGAAAATTATGCCCCGTTGCAGGGGAGGTATCAGAAAGAATGGGCCTATATCTATCATCATTTTTGAGGGCTTAAAGCGTTTTAAAAATTAAATTGCCCGAAAAAATCTTTAAAAATCCGTAAACCCTAAAATATATAAAATTTATTAAAATTCCTCGAACTTTTCAGCCGCCTTAAACATTTTTGAATAAAATTTCATTTTCAATTTTATGAGAGAGGAAACGGAATCAGATCTCTGGTTTGAAATATACCGAAGTTTAAAAAAAAGTATCGCTGACCTGTTTCGCAATTTCGTAGAGATATATGTATTGAAAATTATGCCCCGTTGCGGGTGAGGTATCAGAAAGAGTGGGCCTATATCTATCATCGTTTTTGAGATCTTAAGGAAGGAAAAGGAAATTACCCGAAACCATCTTTAAAAATCCGGAAAACCTAAAATATATAAAATTTATTAAAATTCCTCGAACTTTTCAGCCTCCTGAAATATTTTTGAATAAAATTCCATTTTCATTTGTGTGAGAGAGGAACCGGAATCAGATCTCTGGTTGAGAGACATTTTTAAATATACCGAAGTTCAAAAAAAAAAAAAAATCGATGACCCGTTTCGCAATTTCGGAGAGATATAAGTATCGAAAATTATGACGGTTTCATTGTCCTATTGAATGTTATAATTCGTGCCAATGGTGACCAATTTGAACGAATCTAAATTTGTTCTAAAATTTGATGCTATTTCCGACATTTTTTGCTTTCATTCAATAAAATTTAAAAAAAAAAATATATAAAAATTATGGCGCTTGACTTTGTTGAATTTTTTGATCTCACCCTGTATATAGACCGTTAAAAAATTAAAATTATTTGAAATACAAAAATATTTTTTAATTTTCTCAGCATTTTTATTAATACTCTCTTAAAGTGCACATCTATGCGTATGATTGTTGTCACA